ACACTGTCCATCATTCATTGTTGCAGTTTTATTAGGTAGAGAAATGGTGTGAAATACTTAAAATTCTCCCCTCCTTTAGACAAGGGATTTAATGGTAATTTGGAGCGGACACCAAGTTAAAACTCAGACGCTCTATTAGCATGGCTCTTTGTTTCTGTTTAGGACAGTTTACCGCTTGTGTCCTTCAAACAGCACGATCTCGGCTTATTAAAATAATGTTTTCTGTACCTTTATTGCAAGGTGTCCTCAAACTGCCCCATCTCTCTTTTTTCAGCGAAGATATTATTCTTTTATCTGATCTTCTATGGATTCCTGGCTGGAATATTTATCGGGACCATTCAGGTACTGCTACTCACCATCAGCAACTACAAACCTACATACCAGGACAGAGTTGCACCCCCAGGTACGGCTGCAGACCCCTCATCTAATATCAAATTTGTCGGCAATATAAATTATGGTGTCTTTTTTTTTTTTTTTAAACTACATATTTGGTCATGTAAAATCCCACAATGGAACACCAGAATTGTACAACACAAATATATTCTTGGAGTTTCCACAAGGCTGAAAATGTAATTAACTGTCAGATGTGCTTAAAGGGCTGCATTACAGACAAGTTGATGGCTGAATGGATGGATGAATGGTCAGGTCAGGTGAGGTTAGGGAGCATGCACTGGCATAGCACGTTGTCACACCCACCGCATGATGAAACACCTTGGGATCCCAGTTGGCAACCCCGCAGGCCAGCACGTGGTTCAGTCCAACCCTCCGGAAATGGCCTGTCACAGCCAGGTATTATGTGGGTGTCCCCTTGGCCTGGTCCATCTGCTCAGGTACTCAGCAATGAGGATCCTGCGAGTCAGGGAAATGCGCCACATGGCCGTAGTGCCGTAACAGACGCCCCCTCACAATGCAGGTAATGTGTCTCATTCGGGACCGCTCCTTCAATATTACGTCAAACCAGCGGTACCCAAGGATTCTCAGAAGAGACGCAGTACCGAAGGAGTCCAGTCTTTGTCTCAGCTCACTGGATAGTGTCTCTGTCTCACACCCATGCAGTAAAACAGGGAGCACCAGGACTCTAAGGACTTAGACCTTCGTCCTCTTAGAAAGATTTCGGGAGCGAGCGCCACGCACCCCTTTCCAGTGACCTCACGACCCCCCGTGCTCTCCCAATCTGTCTACCGACTTCATAGGAAGAGTCACCAGAGACATGAATAGATGTCCATAAAAATACTAATTGTGGAGGCCATTTTCTGCAAGTGTAGCACGGTTCATGTCAGGTCAGTATGCATGCACTTGTGCAAATCAGCATTATTGCACCTTGTTCATTATAAACTTGAAACTTGCTGTTGCAAGTTTAGTTCCTTAATCAAATTAAATGTCTAAAAGGACTGACCAGGAGCTGATGTGTATGATGGAGAAATTTCAGTTTTACCTGGTTTTAATATTTTATAGAAAAAAAATGTCCCACTTTACAAAAAGGCTCCCATTGCCAAATGGTAGTAATTCATTAGTATAAGAAAAGGTTACTTGTTAACAATTGCCGATTAATGACTGAACACTAGGTGTTACATCCTAATTAATAACCTGATTATAAAGCATTCATAAACCCTTTATAAGGGGAGTCTTATTGTGAAGTGGTATCAGACTGTAAAAGAGGATAAGGGTGTAGCTATGATCGCAAGGATCTTTGTGAGTTTGATGGTTTCATTTCCAGTTAAATTAATCTCGGGACGGTCCTGAAGACCTGTCTGGATGTGGAGGGTAATCTTATCCTCTCCTCTCCTATCTGTATCAATCAGAAATGGCCCCAGTATAATGCCCTCCTAGTTTTATTGTGTTTTCTCCAAGGTTCAGACAGTGTGTTAACTGTGTTACTTTAAGGCCTCTGTCTACCTTACACTCCATGGTTGCCAAGATGGGCCCTACCATACACAAACCTTATTCAGAAAAGGTTGTTTTGAAAATCAGATTAATATGTATGATTTTGAAATTGTATTGCAGCCTCTTCAATCTTTTTTTGAGAAAAAAGATTGTTTTCCCACACTTTGATCACATACATATACACGTACAATACAAGACACTTCCTGAGATTTTTGTGGAAAAGAAAATTACAGTAGGCTGAATGTAGCAGATAGTTCCCTTGTGTTTTGTTCTGCACCCTAGGACTCTGGCCATGTAGGTTCTAAAGCAGATGTCCTCTCTTCTCATTTTCATGCTGAAGGCCCTTATTTATGGCCGCTCTTCAGTGTAGAAGCCTCACCCTCATTTGCATCTTCACCTTTCAGCATAAGGACTGGGTATAACCCAATTTGCCTGCCATTTCCTTTTGTGCAAAGCATTTTGAAAATGTGAGGCTTGCTTTTCAAGACAATATGGTTGTGGTGTTATATACTCCAGTGAATTTGCATTGGTAACTTGTACAAATAGATACTAACACACATGTGCTATGAAGCCCATGCTCGAAGCCTGCTGCCCCCCTCCACCCATGTGATGCTGTGAGGCACACATTTGAGGCCTGCCTCGTTTTACCTGCCTTTCACTGCGAGGCTTGCCTCACTCCAGACGCCGGAGTTTATGAAGAGAAAAATTAGCCTCCATTGCCTTTTACAGTCAGGCGCTTCCCCCAGCTACTTCTGTTCCTGAAAATGTGTGACATTTTAGTGGAAAACTATTATCACATGATTTCACAGGACTATTTTTAGGTGTCAAAATTGCATGATGCATGCAGCACTTTTAGCTTGGGTTAGCGTTTCTACGCGCGATTGTTAATTCTGAGGGAATAAAACAAAATGTTCATAAATCAACCTGATATTGCGCTACATTTCAGCTTTAGAGCACAGTATTCATATCCTGTGTAGATTCCATTTATTCCATGGAGGCTGTATTGAAATCTACAAAGGCCAAATCAACAGAATTAGAGTAATATTTGACCTTTTGTTTCTAGTAACTAATGGTCGTCTTTCTCATCCTATTAGGACTGACACATCACCCACATTCTGAGAAATCAGAAATCAGTTTCAACCTGAACAACCCAGAAACTTACTTTCCATACACAAAAGCCATTCGCAGCTTCCTGGATATGTATGATGATGAAAAGCAGCTGGACCAGCTGAAATATGAGGACTGTGGGGGTAAGTGCATGATACTTCATGTCAGAGCAGAGATTAAGGATGGGCGATTCACGTTTTTCCAGTTCTGATTAGATCACGATACACAACTGCTGATACAGATTCTGATACAAGCTCTGTTTTCTGTTTCTATGTTTCTTCCGAGAGAATAAGCAAGTGGTTAATGCTTAAACTGCCCCACATTTTTTCTCACACTGGCAACAGCGTCATTTACACTTTGTTGCGATAGCAGCCCCTCCTGTATCAGAAGCTGTAGCGAGGATGCAAAACAGCCCAAGCCAGCGACTCCCAAATCATTCATGGCTTTTTTCATACGACATGCGTTGTCTTGAACAACTGCGTGCACTTTTAGTGGGATGTTCCACTAAATGCTGCTTCCACAAAGATTGCAAATAACCGTGCTACTTGATAAAAGCATAAAATACATCCAGATCGTCACCCTCTTATCTGATGTTCTTACGCTTAGCGTTCAGTCTGAATGCCGCAAAAACATCTAAAATAGGAAAGAACTGTTGTGTGATTGATTGTACAAATCGATTTAACATGAAAATAGGAGCTATTATTTACAGACTGCTGAAAACTAAAGTAATTATTGTACGTGGATCAGTCACTTGGCCGATACCCTATTCGTCTAATAGGTCTGGATTGGTGCCAATGCAGATCCAAATATTGTATTGGTGCGCCTGAAGTAGGCAAACATCATCTATTGCCATGGGGAAATAGAGTAGCTTTTGTATATCTTGCTCTACATTAGAGACAGTGACACGTGTGTATACAGGTTTTAGTGGTCTGCCAGCCACCAGCAGTTGTGGAACAGTTGGGGTGAATGGCCTTGCTCAAGGGTCCTAGGTTCTGCTGACTACAGGATTCAAACTCATAACCCTCTGGACAACACTGTTGCTTCACACCTCTGGGACCAGGGTTCAAGTCTCCACCATGGCTCCATGTGTGTGGAGTTTGCATGCTCTCCCTGTGTCGCTATAGGATTTGCTCTGGGTACTCTGGTTTCCTCCTAAAGTCAAAAGACATGCTGAGGTGAATTGGCGTTATGTGTGCATGTGTGAGTGACTGGTGTGTGAGTGACTGGTGTGTGAGTGTACCCAGCAATGGGTCGGCGAACGATCCTGGGTTGCTCCCTGCCTTGTGCCCGTAGCTCCTAGGATAGGCTCTGGACCCCTCACAACCCTGAACAGGACAAGCAGGTACAGGAACTGGATGGATGGATGGATGGAACCCTCTCGACACTGGCACGTACCCCTAATCCGCTGATCTGCACACCCCGTCATTACATAATTAATAAAGGGGTGCTCCATTGGGCAACAATGGATGGTGGTGATTTGAATCTTGCCGCTGTTCTAAGTGTGTGCTGATAGCATGTTCTTGTAGTGTCATGTGGATTTCCTCCTCCAGTGCAAAGCAACGTCACACCATAGTGTATGCTTGTGTTTGATGGTGAACATGCACGTGCCCTTAATTGGCGTCCTGACCTGGGGTTCCCCCTGCCTCGTGCCCTCTGCTGTTTAGGATAGGCTTCAGGTCCCTCTTAAGACTCTCCGCTGGATTAGTACTTGGAAAATGAATGTAAATTAAATATAGATGATGCCAGGCAGAATAAGTATGAAGTGCCATACAAGTGCAGATTCCATGCTTTATTATGAGAAACACTGTCAGAAAGGACTGTTTAGTTTAGGTCGGTTTGTTTTAAGTGGGGTTCCCCAGGTCTGGTCCTAGACGGTTTGAAGATTTCCCTGCTCAGAAATCTTTAATCTGCTAATTACCAGTTTGAGTAGGTGTGTCTGAGCAGGGATATTTGCAAACTGTGTTGCATACTGGCGCTCCAGGATCAGATATTGTGAGTCCTGGTGTAAAGTGAGGTAAAATATTTATTTAAACAATTGGATATTGTACTGGAACGGAACAGTTCAAGTGCCTTGTTTATGGGTACGAGCAATTAATATACTGGGTCTTGAATCGACAATCATGTCCTTATCTACTAGAGCATTCAGAGCAAGTCAGCGGACTACAGAAGCGCAAATCTGGGGAAGGGCACAAAACCATTTCAAAAGCACTGAGCATCCCTCAAAGGTTATAGCAGTCCATCATACAGAGGTGGAAAAAGTCAAGAACCAGACTGTTAGAACCAGTTGCTGAAAATCTGTTATATTGCTACAAATCGGCAACAAACAGACACATTTATAGTAATAACTTTGTGGGGACTCTCCATTTATTTCCATGGGCAAAACCCTAATCCCAACCATGACAATCTTAACCGTAAGTAAACAAACAAAATACAAGACCTTTGGCATTCTTAGTTTTTTGATTGCAGCCACTGATTTTTTATCAAATTTAGTTTCCCCCTTGTGGGGACTGGAAAGGTGGTCACCACAACGTCAAAATAACAGGTTCTCATTGGGGGACATTTGGTCTCCACAATGTAATATACATGACCCCCCCCCCCAACACACACACACACAATATAATAAATATTATGCATGAGATTTAATATACAGATACAGCCACCTCAATGTGCCTTCATCAGTGGTGATTAGAAGCAGCTCGGTCTGACAAACCCTGTCCCTCGCCATAGATTCTACAGATAGTCTCATCAGACCACAAGACATGAAATGGAACATTTCTGAACTTGCTGCCCTCAGTGCCACTTCCCCTTCAATGTAAGGTGGTAGTTGCGTGGTAATATTTTCTGGATGGGGCTGAAAACCTCATTTATAGGAGGATTAGTGGTGCACAGTACGTAGAAATCCTGGATAACAGCCTGAGAACTCAAAATGAAGTCTTTCCACAAGATATTGCTACAAAGTTCATAGCCAGAGCATCAGCGGAGTGGCTTAAAATGAAGAAAATGGATGTCCTTGAGTAGGTCAGCCCGCTGAAAATCTGTGGCAGGGCATGAAAATTGCTGTCCTTTGCAATTCCTCAATCTGACACAACTTGATCAATTTTCGAAAGTAATGGACACATTCAGGGTTGGGGATTTGAATCCCGTCTCTGCTCTGTGTGTGTCGAGTTTGCATGTTCTTTCTCTCATTTGTGTCTCGTCCGGCACTCCACAGACGTATGACTAGGTTAATTGACATCTCTAAATTACCTAAATTCTCTAAACGGACTGGCATACCATTCAGGGCGAGTCCCCGGCTTGTGCCCTGAACTCCCAGGGACAGCCTACACCCCCTTCAGCAAGGTTGCTAGATGGACAAATACTGCATCATCACAAAGTGCAGTTACTTATCCAGAAGGCGAAGGGGCAGGAACAGCTATCAGAGGAGGTGTAGTACAAATATATAACAAACTATTCCCTTGTTTTTGTGGTTGGCTCAGTGAATGAAAACTCTTGAATATCTGCTGGCCTAATATATCAGTTACTCTGGCTCACTAATGTGAGAAAAATGTTGGGGTCAAGAAATGACGATTTATAAGAGCTGCCTTATCCAGAAAACAAGCCTTGTATAAGGAGATTTGATTGGCAGTTGTAAATGTAGTTATCCCCTGTTTCCCTGAAGTTTAATAAAAATTGAATGTCTTAACTGGTGAAGGCTGAGGTTTTATTTGTATTATGTGAACTAATGTTATAATGCAGATCTAGCTAGTGAATGAAAATGATGCTGAAGGTTCATTAAATACTAGACTGATTTATTAAAATATTTCTTTTCTCAGAACAACCCAATAATGTCAAGGACAGAGGAGAGTTGGAAAGCGATGTGGGTGTTAGAAAAGCCTGCCGCTTCAAGAGGTCTTGGCTGGCTGGCTGCTCTGGCATTGAGGACCAGAACTTTGGATACCAAGAAGGAAAGCCCTGTGTGATTATCAAGCTTAACAGGATCGTGAACTTCATACCACGGGTAAGGCTACCGGCTGAGGCAGTCCCAGTGATTTTTGCATTGTCTCACCGCTGGTCTCCACGGTATAAAGAACAGAAACGTGCTGCCCTCTGGGTGTGGATATGACTCTGCTTCCTGAACTGCTCTGATTTCAGCCTCCAGCTTCCAATGACAGCATCCCTGAGGAAGCCAGGGAGAAAGTGCAGCCCAACGTGATCCCTATCTTCTGCACAAACAAGGTGGGAAAATTATGTAAATGAAGATCTAATTACCAAAATGTTATTTGTGCCTTGAAACTATGGTAGTGCAGCAACGGTTCGTTGACGTGCAGGATGACGTGTACCGAGGAATCTCATTACAATCTGTCTTTACAGAGAGAGGAAGATGCTGGGAAAATCGGAGAGATTAAGTATTACGGCATTGCAGGTGGATTCCCCCTGCAGTACTATCCTTACTATGGTAAATTATTGCATCCTCAGTACCTCCAGCCCTTGGTTGCTATACAGTTTAATAACCTGACCCAGAACACAGAGCTGCGCATTGAGTGTCGGGTCTACGGGGAAAATATCCGCTACTATGAGAAGGATCGCTACCACGGACGCTTCGACATGAAAATGACGGTCAACAATTTATGACCATCGCTACGTAGTTAGTTATTTCTCTTCCCTATTTTAAAACAAATTTAGAAACAGAAGAACCTTAACACATAGTCTTGAACAAGCTCAAAACAGATGGAACACACAAGTAATCCTAACACTAGCTTTTCCGCATACATTTAGGACTAGTTTGTAAATTTAAAAAAAAAAAGAAGTAGAAATAGCAAACTATTTATTGTATTGTAAATGAATACTCCTTGAGCCATGGGACATTTTGTTCATTTGTTACTGTAAATTATAGTTTCACTAATTTTGCAAGCTGTCCTGCTGCTGCTGCCTTGCATGGCATATATACACACACGCACACTTTTTTGTGTGTATAGTAATATAGTTACACCAATGGTCCAATGTCCTGTTGCTTCTGTTCGGTTTCACCAGTCCATTATGTGTTGCTATATAATTATATGCACATATACGTGCACACATACTTCAACAGAAAAATATTGGAATGGCATGGTCTTATCGCTGCAAGCTCACGTCAGGAAGTGACAATGTACAATGTAGGTTTTCACGCGTTACACTGAAGGCAGGGGAGCACCACCACACGGAAACTGAAATGCAGCCGTAATAATCCTCCTATCGAAAATGAAACCTTCCTATTTTCTTTTATACTGCTGTGTAGAATTGCTTCAGTTTGCAAGGCAGTTACCATAATGGTATAAATCAGTGCTTTTCAAAAGCATTGTTTTGAAAAACATTACTTTCAAATGAATGTCCAAGCCATTTTCATGATGGAAGAATTTTTATATTTATGCAGCTGTACAATATTTTTTTCTGCAGAAACCTGTAATATATAAATAAAATACCAAAGTCACAGGTTTAAGGATAGTAGATACTAAAAGACAATGTATTTACCAGATGTATTAAGAGTTTGTTGGGTGTTAAGATGTATGAAAAAAGTTAACTGTTGAACATGAAAATATACAGAACATCTGTTCTTGTAATTTAAGTAGGGGAAAATAAAAATATTACTTCATTTCTTTGTCGTCAATTATTTGCACACGTTACCCATATAAAATCTTGAAGAAATACTGCGCCTGTAAATCAAAAAACAAAAATAATCAACATGAAATTTTTTAAAACCCATGTTCAAGTTTTGCAAAGCATGGTGACCAGAAAATGTGAACAAGGCTGCAGTCATTCAGTAGCACTGAGATATGCACAGTGGGTCCTGCTCGCTGTTCATGCCATACTTTCAAGAAGGATCTCTGAAACCAATGCCAATCCCCCTTGATTTGCTTTCTTTCTGCAGAACAAAGATTATAAGACTATATGGCCAAAAGTATGTGCCAAACTTCTCATTCTGAATCCAAGGGTATTCATTTGAAGATGGTCAGCCCATTGTTGCTATAATAGCCTCCGCTCTTCTGGGAGAGCTTTCCATTAGATGCGGGAACATTGCTGGTGGGATTTGCTGCCTTTCAAGTTGGGTATTGATGTTGGGCTATCAGGCTCCTTTCTGTGACCTACTACTTTATAACTTAACTTGTTGATTATGACCATCAGAATCACTTCACTGACGTTTCAGCAGGGCAGCTCTAACAAAGCATTTAGCAAACTGACTTGTTGGAAAGATGGCGTCCTGTGATGGTGCCAAGTGGAAAGTTACTATCCCCTTCTGTATAATAACTCTTCCTGCTGCCAGTATTTGTTGTTGGAGATTTGTTGCCGTCTGACTGTGTGCTTAATTATACATTGGTGTCAGCAATGGGTGCGGCTTAATTAGGCAATTCCTATAATTGATAGGGGTGTCCGCATACTTTTGTCAATATTGTGTATGTGTAGCACTCTTAGGCAAAAAACATAATCCAATAAGACTAATGTAATAATCTTGACTGAATTTAAAGACACATATCAGTCATACAAAGCAACGTTTTTATCATGGTTCTACACTCAGTGGTCATTTCATTAGTCACCCCCGGTGTGGTGGCAGGCAAGAGGAGGAGGAGGTAAGGGGAACGCTGATAAACGTGTTGCCGTGCCAACCACATGACAAACCCCCCAGCTGTGGGGTGGGTGATACCTCAGCACCACACTAGTTTGGATGGAATGGAACAGATTGTGAACTTTGCTCAAGGGCCCAACAGAGTAGAATCTCTTGATATCTATGGGATTCGATCCAGCAATGTGTCTAAAATAGAAATCCTTCTATTGTCATTATGCAGGGAGCAAGAAACAGAATCTTGGCATCACACGTTACTCTCCTATGACACACACAAATACACATAGGTTACAGTGAAGCTTGGGGTCACTGAACAGGATTAGCCATTTATCCGGCACTCTGCAGCAGCTCGGGTTAAAAGCCTTGCTCAAGCATCCATCAGTGATTGGATGACTCTGCCAGCCAAGGGATTTGAACCAGCATACTTCTGGACTCCCAACTCAGAGCTACACACTACCCCGATTTCCACTGACCTCTCAACAAGGCGTTTTTGCCCAAAGAACTGGCACTGACTGGATGTTTTTTTTATTTTATTTTATAAAATCACACCCTTCTCAGTAAACTACAGATAATATAGGGCATGAAAATCCCAGTGGGGTGGCGGAAGAAGGCAAGAAGGCATGTGGGGGTGCCACGCATGAGCTGAAGGTACCCAATGAACACCAGCCCCTTTCGCCTGAACCAATGAAAGTGCCCTCCTTTGATGTCCCCTTTTCAGCGTTTACTCAAAACCTGGGGAACCCCCCACCAGCCAGCAAAAGTACTGTTTGGCCACGCCCCTTTATTCAAAGACCTGCCCCTTGAAAAGTCTGTGCACGTTACTGACTGGACCTACCATACTGGTACCAATATCACACTATGTTTAAATTGCTAAGATCACACGTTTGCCATTCTAATGTTTAGCTGCACTGCACAGCACTCAGATCTCTTGACCCTATCTGCATGCTGAGTATACTCAGCTGCAGTCATATAATTCCCTGTTTGGAGACGCGGAACTCACCTCCAAAATTCCATCTTCTGGTAAATCCGTACAATGGACTGCATTCTGCATCTTGTTTTTGCCATACAGTGCCCGTAGCGTAGCTGGCCTTAGATGGCGGGCAATGTCCTGCCAAAAAGATGGGGGTTAAACAGTTCAGCTGTACTAAATGTACACAGATTAATACACAAAGCCATCGACAGCACAAAGCCATCGACAGCATGCCATTTCATAAATGGTACTGATACTCTTGCCCGTAAATGAAATGGATATTGATGATCAACGCAGGAACATTAACAAACCTCAAGTATTGGTTTTGTTACCTAAGCACAGAGGAACAGATCCAGATTTAAGAATTTAAATCTTTTTATGCTGACACAGACATATGCTTCACAGATATAAACTGTGCTGGATGGATGACTGTTAAAGGGCCTAGATAAAATTTCAGCAACAGTTCCGCAGAAGATTTAGTGGAAAACAAATGGCAGATATTCAATCATTTATCTTAATATTCATTTCCTGTGCAATGCTCAAAGAAATACTGAAACCTATGGGTCAGAGATATAAGGCTTGAATTATGAGGTGGCATTTGATCTGTTTCTAGCCTGTACAGGATAAAGGCATTCATCTTCGCCCCTTAACTACATACTCCAACTAGTGTCTAGACCAGGGGTCACCAAGGACCACATAAATTGCCCACGGACCTGTTCTAAAAATAGCACAACTAACCAGTCTGCAGAGTCTAAAATTTAATTTTATCCTGTTGCTATTCTTCTTTAATCACATTTGCATTTATATAGATTTGAAAATGACAATATATAAAAAAGCATTTAAAATATGTTTATTATACATGAAGTTTAGGAGGGCGTTTCAAACTGGTAGCCCTTCGTATGGCTCAGTACCCGTGAAGTAGCTCTCAGTTTCAAAAAGGTTGGTGACCCCTGGTCTAGACTAGGCAAATATCTATTACACATTATTGAAGTGTGACACTCATTGCAGCATAACTTCATTTAACAGTTCTTTAGCATTCTAGGGAGAATGCTATGCCATTTTCACCTTGACATTGACTCCTAAGTCACAGGCCGTTAAAACTTGTCAAAAAGCAAGTTAAACAGAAAATTACACATCCAGCCACCTGTTATTGTCCTGTATCCATCTGTTCAGAGGCACAAAGGCTGAGGCAGAGAAACCTGACACTCATGTCAGATGCTACGGAAGGCTGGGGAACTGGGAGCCCTCAAAGCCTTAAGTCACATGTAAAACGCCATAAATAACAGTAATAGGCTGCTTACACGCATCTTACTACCAGATAATATGGAAAGGAATGGCACAGCATCAGCAATAGTTTAAGTATACAGTATCTATTCCGTATACAGTATATAATGTGTGTGCAACTGTGCGTATAAATAACCCTGCTGAAACACGCTGAAAGTCCAAATATCAAATTTGTATAACTTGCTAACGTTACTGATTTTCAGATGACAACAATAGTTCAGCAATGCAGTAGCTTTTCATTTCAAAATACTATTTATGCTTTGGAAAAGCAAAGCAGACATGTAAACCCTAAATTACAGCGTCTGCCTGTCTGCCTGTGTCTAAACTGTCTGTGTCTGTCTGCCTGCCTGTCTCTCTGTGTCTGTCTGTCTGCCTGTCTCTCTGTGTCTGTCTGTCTGTGTCTGTCTGTCTGCCTGTCTCTCTGTGTCTGTCTGTCTGNTCTGTGTCTGTCTGTCTGCCTGTCTCTCTGTGTCTGTCTGTCTGCCTGTGTCTAAACTGTCTGTGTCTGTCTGCCTGCCTGTCTCTCTGTGTCTGTCTGTGTGTGTCTGCCTGTCTCTCTGTGTCTGTCTGTCTGCCTGTGTCTAAACTGTCTGTGTCTGTCTGCCTGTGTCTGTCTGCCTGCCTGTTCTCTCTGTGTCTATCTGTCTGCCTGTGTCTGTCTGTCTGCCTGCCTGCCTGTCTGTCTGCCTGCCTGCCTGTCTGTGTCTGTCTGTCTGTAGTGCCATTTCATCAGAAAAACCTTTTATCAAGGTGGCAACACTTTGACAGTTATGTCCCTTGGTCCTGGTCTTTTCAGGTTCTGGTCAAAATTAATCTTATGCACATGTCCTTTTTTGCATTTATAGACTGGGTTTGGTGGCCGGGTTCTGATGGTCCATCCCACCGGTGCCATGCACAGATTTTTCAAGGCACTGGTGATTGAATGTGGGAGGCTAGCTAGCTTAGCATAAATTTTTCATGATCATGGGTTATTGAAAAGGAGCACTTACAACCTCAAAAGGGGTAGGTACTTAGGCACCCCCATGAGCTCCTGCATCAAGCTCTACAGCGTATGTCATTAGGTCACAGATCTGATCCCGTGTTCGATATGTTGTGGGGTCGGATCCCGTGGTCTGCAATATTATCACATTATCCTACCTGCTCACAGGTTGCTAAATGCTGTTCCCCACTTGTATGCTGCTTTAGACAAAAGCATCTAATTAATAAATGCAAATGTTGAAATACTGTAGCTCTGGTCATATGACCCAGTGCTATTGAAATACAAGGGTCCGGTCACTCCGAGTGTTACAATCTGGAGTGAAGAGGGAAAGGAATTCACTACAATGATATACATTAAAATTCTCAAAAATACCCCACAAATCTCATGTTTAAAAGAGCAATGCTGAGATGGAAGACTTAAGAGGAAATACACCTTGGTATCTTGGCTATTCTATATATAAATCCATTTAGTCCATTTCAATACACAAGTCACTATTCATCCACTTTGTTGATGCTTTTCCATTTAAGCCTGTCTAGTGACTAAACAGACAAACCAAACAGGGTAAACCAGGACCTTGCAGTTATAAAAGTTGATGGGGTGAAGACAGAAAGCTAAACAAAAAGAGAAGCACTTGCTATACAGGGGAATACAGCCAAATATAGTACAACTGATAAAAGTTAAACTAAAACTGATAAACAACATTCATTATTGCCAAGGTCATCTTGACCTTGCATATCATTACATATTCGAAAATGCATGCAGTCATTACATATTCCTTGTTATTTAGTGTTGACATTTTTCACTCATGCAATTATTGACCATCTTTGTTCAGAAAATCTGGTGAATTAGCCATTGTGTGAATGACAACTGCTGTATTATCTACAAGTAAAAACGTTACGTTCGAGCATCAGGGTGTCCATAAGTGGACATGGTACGAACATGCCCGGGGCTACAGGTCGATGATCGATTTCATAATTGTATCCTCTGATCTGCAGCCTTCTGTCTTGGACATTCGGGTAAAGGGTGGGGCAGAGCTGTCAACTGATCACCACCTGGTGGTGAGTTGGCTCAGGTGGCGGGGGAGGAAGCCGGTCAGACCTGGTAGGCCCAAGCCCATAGTGAGGGTCTGCTGGGAACGTCTGGCAGAGGCTCCTGTTCCCCGGAGCTTTAACTCGCACCTCCGGCAGAATTCCAACTGCATACCGGGGGAGATTGGGGACATTGAGTCTGAATGGACACTGTTCCGGACCTCCATTGTGGAAGCGGCCGTACGGAGCTGTGGCTGCAGGGTGGTCGGTGCCAGTCGTGGCGGTAACCCCCCTACCCGATGGTGGACACCAGAGGTGAGGGGGGCCGTGAAGCTGAAGAAGGAGGCCTACCGGGAATTATTAGCCCGGGGGTCTCCGGAGGCAGCTGACAGGTACCGGCGGGCCAAGCGGAACGCAGCTCGGGCAGTCACAGAAGCAAAAACCCGGGCGTGGGAGGAATTTGGTGAGGCCATGGAAAGTGACTTTCGGTCGGCCTCAAAAAGGTTCTGGCAAACCATCCGGAATATCAGGAGGGGGAAGCAGCTCCTGGTCCCTACTATTTATAGTGGGGAGGGGGTGCTGTTGACCTCACCAGGGGACATCACCCGGAGGTGGAAGGAATACGTTGAGGACCTCCTCAACCCTGCCTCAGATACATCTACGCACACTGCCTTTGAGACATCTGAGGGCACAGAGCCCGAGGGTGCTGGGGGGGGCTTGCCCATCACTGAGGCTGAGGTGGCCAGGGTGGTTAAAGAGCTACGTGGTGGCCGGCCCCGGGGGAGGACGAGATCCGCCCGGAGGACCTAAAGGCTCTAGATGTTGTTAAGCTGTCGTGGCTGACACGCCTTCTCAACAGTGCGTGGAGGTCAGGGACAGTGCCGCTGGATTGGCAGACCGGGGCGGTGGTCCCCTTATTTAAGATAGGGGACCGGAGGGTGTGTTCGAACTATAAGGGGACAACACTTCTCAGCCTTCCTAGGAAAGTCTATTTCGGGGTACTGGAGAGGAGGGTGAGATCGATAGTCGAATCTCGGATTCAGGAGGAACAATGCGCTTTTCATCCTGGCCATGGAACAGTGGACCAGCTTTATACCCTTGTAAGGGTACTGGAGGGGGCCTGGGATCTACAGTCTACATGTGTTTTGTGGATTTGGAAAAGGCTTACGACCAGGTTCCCTGAGGTGCTCTGTGGGGGGTGCTTCGGGAGTACGGGGTCCGGGGTCCGCTGTTGTGGGCGATTCGGTCCCTGTATGAACGGAGCAGAAGCTTGGTCCGCATTGCCGGTAATAAGTCGAACGTGTTCCCTGTGCGGGTTGGGCTCCGCCAGGGCTGACCTTTGTCATCGGTCCTGTTTAACATTTATGGACAGGATTTCTAGGTGCAGCCAGGGTGTTGAGGGTGTCCAGTTTAGTGGCCTCAGGATTTTGGCCGCTGCTTTTTGCGGATGATGTCGTCCTGTTGGCTTCATCTGCTGGGGATCTCCAGCGTGCTCTGGGGCGGTTCGTAGCCGAGTGCAAAGTGGCGGGGATGAGGATTAGCACCTCCAAGTCTGAGACCATGGTTCTCAGACAGAAACGGGTGGATTGCCCTCTTCATGTCAGGGAGGAGGTACTGCAAGTGGAGGAGTTAAAGTATCTCGGGGTCTCATTCATGAGTGAGGGTGGGCGAGATCGGGAGCTGGACAGACTAATCAGAGCGGCTTCTGCAGTTTTGCAGGCGCTTAACTGGTTCATCGTGGCTAAGAAAGAACTGAGCCGGAAAGCAAAGCTCTCGATCTATTGGTCCATCTTCGTCCCTACCCTCACCTATGGTCATGAGCTATGGGTAATGACCGAAAGAATGAGATCACGAATACAGACGGCCGAAATGAGGTTTCTCCGCAGGGTGTCTGGGCTCTCCCTTAGAGATAAGGTGAGAATTTCGGATATCCGGGAGAGTCTCAGAGTAGAACCGCTGCTTCTCCATGTCGAAAGGAGCCAGTTGAGGTGGTTTGGACATCTGGTACGGATGCCTCCTGGGCAGCTACCCGGAGAGGTTTTCCGTGCCTGTCCTACAGGGAGGAGGCCCCGGGGCAGACCCAGGACACGCTGGAGGGATTATATCTCTCGGCTGACCTGGGAACGCCTCGGCATCCCCCCCGAAGAGCTGGTAGAAGTAGCTGGGGAGAGGGAGGTCTGGGTATCTCTCCTGAAGCTGCTACCCCCGCGAACCGAACCCTGGACAAGTGGAAGCTAATGGATGGATGGATGGAAAAACGTTATCACTACAAACCAAGTCAGCGTAGTACAGCTAAAGAACAGTGGGCACAACATGGGCTCTTGCCAATTCCACTGTGAGATAAACAAAAGGTTTAAACATAAATAAATTCTTATAATACTATCAGAAATAAATTCTGAAGGAACCAACGATATTCAGACAGTGTTTCGTTACAATGGTGCTGTCTCGTTACAATGATATTAACACTAACCAGGACCCAGTGAAGACATGCAATACGGCAGTAAATATAAATAAGGCAGCAACAAGTCTTCAAATCTAAGTAATTTAAGTCCTGCAAGTCAGGACTTAAAAGGATTTTCCAATGTTAAATGTGAAGTAAACTAACAAAACTCAGCAGTTATTTCAGGTGTTTTTCTCACATCAAAATGAACTGAATACAACTAAGAAATGAACGAAGGCAACACACACGAACGTATGACATCTAGAAACTTTACCCAACATCTATTATCCACTCACCAGGTCCTAAATCCAGACCCTTTGCAATGAACCAGTATGACTGTGATGTCCGTCTTAACTGTGGTCAGTCTGTCTGCATATAGATGCAAAAACTTGTTTCACAAGGGTACATTACTCAATTCCGTCCATTCATCTTCCATTAAGAGAATTAAATACATTTAATTTAGCCAAACCCCCGAAGTAGCCCATTTGAGACACTAATGATAAGAACTTCCTTTTGTGTATCATACAATTAATCTGTTCAGACCTGTGACTAGTGCATCAGCTTCATTTTGAGGGTTTCCTTTTACAAGTGACCAAAACTGGAAGCATGATTTTGATACTGTTTTCCATAAATCATTATTTATTCTATATCTGGCTAACCTAGTATACTGCTAACCCTAACCCTATTATCTCTTCATAATCAGATCCTAAGAAAGACTAAGTGCTTTATTTATTTATTGTTGCTGTGTTTACCCTTTTGCAAAACAATTCTGACCTACATGGTAATGGGTGCTGTGTGGAACTCTTTATATTGGTTGTTAACTAGCAGATGAATGATTTATTATGATTGCAACATTTAAATTACAACTGCAAGAAAAGAAAATGTATACCATTCGTAATGGTTGTATTTCTACATTACTTATACTACTCTGATTTTCAATTAAATCACAAATACAGATAAACACAACCTGCTTAAATTCATAAGCAAATAATAGTACTACTACTTGCCAATGCTGAATAAATAATTTAAGCATTCACAGTGCAAGCTGGAAAAAGTATGCAAACCATAGGCTAATGACGTCTCCGAAAACTGGAGTCAGGTGTTCCAATCAATGAGATGAGATCACACCAACTTAAAAAAGTGGCTCTGTGACCCTCTGCGACTGTTCTACTGACATCCAGAGTATTCAAAACCCCTGTCTTAGGGTAACAACAAAGCTGTGCAGAAATCTCTTGCCAAAGCCTTTGTTCATGTGTCTATTAGGAGATGCACAGTGAACAAGATTGATGTTGATCGATGGACACAGTGAAGGATGAACTACTGTACTGCTTTCCAAAAAAAACAAAACAAAACGAATAAATAATTCAAACAAATAACAACAATAACATAACAACAACAACAATAATAATAATAACAATAATAATATTAGTGCAGCAATAAAACCACCTGAAATGCTCCACATTGCTTCTGGCAAAATATTCTGTGGATGAATGAGCAGGAATATGTATTCTGTTTGTCTATTACTTGTTTAAGCATGTGTTCATCTATTGTGGCATAGATGAAGATCAAAGCATATTTAATACAGAAATCCAGATAATTCCAAATGGTTCACAAACAGATTCTTGAGAATGCATAAATAACTTGCTGCCTAATGCATATATCTATATGACTTATAAAATAAAGTTCCTGAAAAGCATTGTAGACTAGAATAGGAGGATTATAATTACATGAAACATGCAGAGATAGATGCTGGTCAATGCATGCGCACTGCGGAGCACTGATCTTCAAAATAACAGCTTACTCAGTAAAACATGACCTTTGTCTGTAGGACTATCTCAGCATCTCTGGATTAATAAGGGGAATAAGTCTACTAGCTACACATAGTTTAAATATATAATAAATGGACAGGGTTTTATATGCTTAAACATAAACTAATTGCTTGCATATCAGACTAAGTATTAATAATGTTCAATAAGAAGTATGCAAGTAGTTGAATGAAATAGTATGCTTGCAAGATCAAAGTCAGTGAGAAAATGGCCATAAATACCATCATAAGCTTCTCATATTCACCAGTAAGAGAAGAAAAGAAGTCATTGGCACAATGTTAGTAACTCACCGGGTCTGCTGGTCCACAGAAATCCCGAAATCTTCTTGGAGCCTCAGCTCCGTGGATCTCCAGGGCCATACAAGGTCCAGAGCAGAGCTCGGACACCATGCTCTGCCAGGAAGTAGACAGCAGAAAATGCCATCAATGTTTTCATACAGAGAAACTTAAGAAAATGTTGTCTATTTTTATGCGAACTGCTTTAGGTTCAAGTTAAAAAAAAAAAAAAAACTAAACAAAACTTGCTTTTATGGTCTGAACATAGAGTATCCAGCAGTATTCTCAAAGCAGAACCACCAAACCACCAAAGGAGTAAGAACAGAGAGCAGCATTCTCAAAGCAGAACCACCAAACCACGAAAGGAGTAAGAACAGAGAGCAGCATTCTCAAAGCAGAACCACCAAACCACCAAAGGAGTAAGAACAGAGAGCAGCATTCTCAAAGGAGAACGCAGCATTCTTTAAGCAATCTAAGCAGAACGTTTCTCCTTGTTGCTCTTTCCCTTATATATGATGCCACTTGATGATTTTCATTAGTGTTAAGAACTATAGTAATGCAACTGACATACAGTTCTGTGTCAGAGAAAAACAACAATGGGTGGAAGTTACTGTATATGAAATCAGAAGAGTTATAAATCATCTTCATAGGTATTCGTTTCCACCTGTGTCTTTTTTCCCCAGTAACTGGAACATACAGCTTTTCCTTTATTTGTCCAAGCATTAGTCTTGAGTTCTGTCCCTGGCTTACTTCTTCACTGTCTTTACAAAGGGGAATGAAATAATTAAAGCAACCAGGGCCACTGCGAACCCCCCATGTCATGTGCTTCTGCCTGCCAGCCTGACCTGAGGCTTTCCCACAGCAACATCAGGAACACTGGGTTCTGAATGACACCAAAATCCCTATTTCTGAACTGACCCAAATACACCAGCAGTAATGGAAGTGTTCATCTTTTCCTGTACACTGCTCTTTAATAAACACGTCTATATTTAGGAATAGAAGTCATTCTTTACAGAAATCCTGTTTAACAGAGTGATCATTGACCTGCATGCTTGGTCCTCTTGATTCTGACAAATACCAGACCAGCTGTTGCACATAAATACATCATGACATTATTCAGAACCCAAAACCTAATTTAGTCCCACTTTCCAGGAATCAAACCCAAATTATCAGTTTTCAAATATAAATGTATTTTAACAACGTGTACTGTACATTTTTAAGATGTACAGTACACAAATCAGATTTAAATGTAAGAAAATCAAATGTAAACCACTTCGCATTGACTTGCTGTGAAGTCACTAACTTCATATTACTCAACCAACATAAGAAAATGAAATACTTTTCAATGATTAAAAACATTAAGCTACTGAATGTCACTGGAACAATTCAAAATGATGTGTGCCTTTCCACATTAATACCCTATAACCTTTCACACCTTGCATACTTACAGGGTACTCAGCCACTACACCTTTGTAAACTTCAAAGAACTCTTCAGCGTTGGCTCGATCCATGCTGAACTGTGGGGGAAGAAAGTAAGCATACTCTGTGAATACAATGCCTTTTTGGAAACACTGACTGTAGTCACGCTTTTACTTAGCAATGTTGGTAGGTAAATAAATAAAAGCAAATCTTAATATCCGGGTGTCTGAGGTTAGTGCTATTGTCTCATACCTCTGGAGATCAGGGTACGATTCCCCACCTTTGCATGGTCTCCCTGTGTCGTCGTAGGGTTTCCTCCAGGGTCTCCGAATTCCCTCCACAGTCCTCAAACATGCTGAGGTGAACTGCAGTTGCCGATCTGTGTTTGTGAATGGTGTGTCCTAAGCCTATCCTGGGGGCAATGGGTTGCCAACCCAACGCAGGGCACACAGACACAGACGATTTGTCAACTTTATTTCACCTTGGCATGTTTCTGGACTGTAGGGAGAAATCAAAGACCCTGGAGGAAACCTCACAATGACAAGGGGAGAACAGGCAAACTCCACACATATAGAGCTACGGTGGAGACCTGACCCCTGGTCCCAGAGATGTAAGGCAACAGTGCTGTAATCGCTTTGGAGGATGTCAGCTCGGGCTAAAGCAGATGGGACTACATGCTGTATTACTCAAATCTCGCTTCTGGCGCAGCATGAAGGACATCTGCAGCCAGGGTGATGCGGTCACCTTGGGCTCAGGCTCACATGCAGCCTGCCTTCGCATGACTGCAGATCTCACGTCTTTGCCTCTGACAGGCAGACGGTTGCTCCTAGCTTTGTCAGTCCTTTCCACTAGGAGTGTGGTGACTCATCTCTGCAGATAGTGCTTATTAAAATGGAGAGCCCTGCAGTCTGCTTCTCAGAAGGTATAAGCCTGTGCCTCTTACTTTGCTCTCCCTGCGTTACTGTCAGCAATACACAGCAACTAGTGGTATCAAAATCATCTCAGTAATCAAATTATTACATAAGGATAACAAGCTTGTAAATAAATAAATACATCCAGCACTGCAAACACTGCGCTTCATACTTCCAGGGTCAGGGGTCTGAACCTCTCATATATGGAGTTTGCATGGTCTCCCCTACTTTACATGTTATCTGGCATCTCTAAAGTGTATCCATGAACCACGTGGTGGCAAGATATCAGCTACCAGGACAAGATCCCCTGGTTGGATGTTGCATCTGATAGGGCATCATTTCTGCTGTTCTTGTATGAGCGGGAGGTATTCCCATACTCAGCGTGTCCAAAACAGGTCAGCAATGCATTGAACATGTCGTCTGGGGTAGAGATCCTGTTTTCCAAACGAGGCTGGTGGCAAAACAGGTTGTACCTTGAGCTGACGCAAATGGTTTGGTGTCAATGGTTCTAGGTCATTTGGATCATCTGAGGCTATTGTCAGTGGGTGGCTATTAAGAGTGGCCTCCACCTCACATATGATTGTTTGAAGACCATCTAAAGACTGTTGCCTCGTGACAGTTAAAAAACTCTTTTTACCATCCAGAATAGGGCTGGACAATAATTCGATATCAATATATATCGCGATATAATTTTTTTCAATAACGGTGATACGATTTTTAAACACATTTCCGATATTTCGATATACATATATACTGTATCATATAATATACAGTATATGAATAATCAGCCTGTTTTAGTTTAAATGGAAATATATTATTGTTAATAAGCTGAGTCTGAGAGTTTTATTTATTTGATAGTTTATTTCACATTTCTTGTTTGTAAAGGCTAAATACAAATAAAAAGTGAACCTTATTTTTTTTGTACTGTTTTTATTAAAAAAAAAATTATATAATTTTAATAGGAGGAGCCTGGAGGTATTATAGACTTTGCAAATTCAGTTTGCAGACATCCATTGTGTGTGTCCTCGGCAGTTTTTTCCTGAGTCTTTTTAATATTGTCCATATCGATATCGGAATTATATCGTATCGACCAAAAGTAAGAAATATATCGTGATATAAATTTTTGCCATATCGTCCAGTCCTAATCCAGATCAGTCTTTCCCTTATCCAACCATGATGGGCTCCAGCAGGAGGGTTAAAGGACCATTTCACTCCCTTTTGAAGCAGACTACATTCAGTTTGCTCTATGTAATACAACTTCACGGCTGCTTTTAATTTCCTTTCTGTGGAGACAAAGTTGATTCCATTATCTGATCGCAGCTCGTTCACCTGGCCTCTTCTGGAAATAAAATGTCTGCAAACAATTATGCATGAGTCAGTGTCAAGTGAATGAGCCACTTCCAAATACACAGCTCGACTTGCGGGACAAGTAAATACCACCGCAGGGTTTTACCATGCCATGCCCACACCGTATATCTATTGGTCTAAAATCGGCAACTCCAATCTGAGGGTGGCAGGTCAGGAGATGATCTGTAAGATGGCAGGTCAACCATTTTTTGTGCTCCAACATTTGCATCGAACCTTTTACAAATGATGCATTCATGGATTATTTTTCTATGTGAAGCACTTGGAAACCAGTATTTTTCTTAGAAAGCTTAGAAGACTAGGTGGTAATGTCCATCAATAAATTTAGAAGAGTTGTCCATTATCATCACAAACCTTGGATCTTTTTGTGACGTCTCTTTTCTATGTATCTTTTCTCTGGAAAGTCATGGTTGTGTTGTTTGGTTAATGGTTCAGCAAGGGTTTCCACAGAAGATCCGATGTTCACGAACACATACTTGATTACTGATACGAACATCTTCACCCTGAAGTCCATTCACCACCCAACCTAGCAGTGTCTTGACAGCAAAAGGCCCATTATCTTGACTCTCCATGGTTCCACTAACTTTGTTGCATTTAATTCCAGTTAGCAAATCACTCTCAGCATCAGTACGGATGTGAGTTTCACTAACAGGAATTTCTTCCTGAGAATAAATATCTGGTAACTCCATGAAACAGTTGTGTTCCAAATTACATATTTCCAGTCCCTTGATTAATGGGATTTCATAGGCTTGTTTTGTTTCACAGTGTGAATTTGACAGTGCTTACATTTTACCAGCCTCCTAAGTTAGTCTGTAGAGAATAATGCAGAATTCCTTGGATCAAGAAAAGCATGAGTTTGAACTATTTTACTTAAACAACTGAACTTGACTTGCACTGGTATGGCGCAAGAGTGCAATCACATGCCTCAAGCCCCCTGACCTCAGCGAGACCAGGCGGCTGGTTACTGCTTCACCATGCTCTAAGGTACTGTAGGGCTTACTCTCAGCCTTTGGGTTTTGTAATACACTTGATTTATTTTGAGAGCAGGAATATCGGTTTTTATGACTCTTACCCTGTTTAAAATAGCAAAAACACATCTCCTTTTATCTGCATTAGCTCCACTCTTGCCTTATGAGACTTACTTAGCAAATCTTGGCATGACTGAATCAGGTGATCACTACTGCAGACAGCACAGAGTTCAGGATCATTCAAAGGACTATTCTAGGACAGATCTTTCAACTTCTGCTTTGCGACTGTGGTGTCAATGCTAGTTCCTCTGCTCTTTGCTTTGGTTGTCTGTTTAGAATCTGTTGCCGTCCTGAGTTTAGTCATCTTGTTATGGAGAGAGGGGATCTTGATGTCACCAAGAAGTGGATCTTGCATAATTCTAGGAAGCCTGGAGTTTTGCCTAATTATGGCTCCTACTTAACCCTTAGCCTGTGTCTCCAACCCGCCTTGTGCCCTTTGTTTCTTGAGGCTAGAGCAGGAGTGGGGAACCTGGTCCATGGAGGTCTGGTGCATCTGCAGATTTTTGGGATGATCTCTCAATCAGCCAATAACAGAGCATCGATAGGACTGGAGTTGAGAACCACTGCTTGATTATTGGCCGACTGAGAGGTCATTCCAAAAACCTGCAGCCACACCGGCCCTCCATGGATCAGGTTCCCCACCCCTGGGCTAGACGCTTGCCATGACTCTGCAAATCAATACATGCTTACGGAAAATAGATCCATCGATAAAAAGGTAAAGTTACTCTTACCATCTGAAGGGCTGAGATTTCAAATCCCGCTTGGTTAATGGAGTTCAAGATCTTCCCAGTGAGAGCTGCATTCAGATAGATGACAAATTGAAGTTACTGGATGATTATAAATCTCCCCCTATACAAACAATACTTTTTACCTGTAATTATCTGTATTTCGGTCAATATCAAATGGATGTCTAAGCCAAGCACTGAAACACACTACTACTCTTATTGACAGTACCTTTCATATATTCATATTTTTATGCCTAACATTAAATTATATTCTGCTTAACACTACTCTGCATATCTTTAAATATAGGCCTAGTGGAAACAAGTTTTAACACCCACTGCTGTCTGTCTGGAAAATATTTTGATTTTTCTAAAAAAAAAATGTTAAAACCTACTTTCAACAGTGTCCCATCATATTTTTCTACTTTTCAAAGAGTTTTTAATAAAAATTGCAACATCCAGTAGTAGCCAATAGCAGAGCCAGAAATCATAGTGTTGGTGGGCCAGTTCCATAACAATTTACTTGGAGACAAAATCACACTACAGACTCTACACATTCTCAGTTCTTAAATGACCCATGGCATTACCAAGACCAAATGAACAAAGTGAAAGAAAAATCTAAGTCTCAACAGCACATTTCTTCTTATTATTATAACCACACACACACATACCTGTCAGGCACAATTGTTTTATCATACAGTATCGCTCGCTGTGTTTTATTGTACAGTATCGCTAGCTGTGTTTTATCGTACGGTATCGCTAGCTGTGTTTTATCGTACGGTATCGCTCGCTGTGTTTTATCGTACGGTATCGCTCGCTGTGTTTTATCGTACGGTATCGCTCGCTGTGAATGCTGTGAACAGTTCCATTTGTATGTGCCCAGGCCCACATGTACTACTGTGGCACCGGTATATAATTTATCTTTAAATGCGGAGATGGACTTTGCTAATTCAAGACATTTCTGGTACAATGAAATATTTAGCTCATCCAAAAAAACAGAGAATCATCCAAAAATTAGCTCATCTAAATCCATTACATATTTAATGTACTTATAAACCAGCAAGAAATAGAAATAATAAAAAAAAACTGAAAAAATATTGCACATATAGAGGATTTATACAGAAAAACAAAACTTTAAAATTCTGGGCTCCAAGGGAAGAGTGAGTTAGGAATACCACTGTGCAAGCTGCAGATTACACTGACAACACTGAAGACTGATGTCATATGAAATGATTATTTTAGAATAATTACTGAGAGCCAACAGAAGCCAGTTTCAAGTGGGAGTTCAGAGGTACGAGTACGAATGAGCTTAACTGGAAGAAGGCGGCCTCTTACGCTGAGGCCATGGAGGTTCTCGTGATTATATCTATACTTAAGTGTTCCACTTGAGGAAACAGGAAAAAGATCTAAGGGATGTTGTTTACTTTTCCGCAAAGTCCCTGTTTTTCCTAACACAACATTAGGCAGTAAGTAAGCAGTACAACAGTTACCATTTGAAATCCATAGTTATATTAATCAAAACACAAATTTATAGCGCATGAGTTATAAAACTAATGAAAACTATGCCATGATGTCTATTTTGCTACAGGCCATGTCTGTGATATTATGTTTGCCTGGTTCAGGCTGGTCTTAAATAAGCAATATGGCCTAAGACAGACATCACATAAAATATATAGACATATATGACTGCAATTCAACTAAATAAAAATTAGTTTTCCACCAAACTATGTATATTTTAGCCCCTTATTTTTACCAAGTTTAGGTTAAAACACCAAACATCCAGAGGGTCAATATATGCATGTTTGTTTTTTTTAATGAATTAGTCACTTTCAGATGTGAAATGGAAATAAACCCAGGACTCACATGACAAAGGAAAACATGTGGCTGGCCAGTATTTGCTATTACCTAAAATGCATCTCTCTGGACACCTTCTATACAAGAAAGAAAGAAAAACGACCCTTTCTATATACCCTTGGTCAATGTCAGGGTTAAAAAAAAAAAAAAACAGACAAAGTGCGACATTCATTGAAACATAATCCGTCTGAGTGTCCCCAGAAATGCTGAGGTGGAAAGCCACCCTCTTACAGTACAGTAATGCAGGTAGCCGCTATCAGAAAGCTAGGGGAAAATGTGCCCATTACTGATGCTTATCGTAGAGCACATTAAAAATGATAAACACTGTTCTTGATCACCGTCATATCTCAGTTACTCCCTTTATCACTGAAGTTAAGTACAGCAAAATGTGCTTGAAAATATTGACAACTCTGGCATTTTTATAATCATAATTTATGATCAGAACTTAAATGTATTATACTTTAATCATCAGTTTTTCAAAATAACTAAATTTACACTGAGACAAATGCAAATTACAACTGTAGTATATGTCGATAAGAGATTATTAAATGTTAGCTTATTTTTACATTGCATTACAAGTCTACATCATGTCATTGGCAAGTCACAGTCTGACTACAGTTGAGCAGACAGCTTCTCACTGCTCTTTTGTACCGAAATAAGCTCCGATTCTGCTAATCAAAAGATAATCCCAAAACGAATCCTCTTTATATTACACCTTGGCATTGACCTTATGTTGGTGATTGGTTAGTTCCACCGGAGGATACTGGGTGTGTGTTTGTGTGTTTTTTGTTGAACCAAGTATTCTGATGGTTACTGACGGAAGAGTAACTACGTACACAGTACAATCTAATATTTAGGCTTAATATTAAAGTTAATATTTTCTTCCCATTTATGGTAAAATGTATACTCAAAGATAATGTAAGATTACTGTAGTTTGCTGAGACTTCACATTACATTTTTGGTTGATCTTTTATTGACCATTGCTGTTTTCAAATCGTGACAAACAATTCACCTTTATGGCAAAGGGATCATTAAAAATGTTTTAGAAATAGAGCTAGCAAAGTAATTAAAAACTCAAGAGTCTATTGCAGTGTTTCCCAACCTGCTCTGCGGGGACCCACAGATGGTTCACGTTTCTGCTCCCTCCCAGTTCCCGATAAGGACAATTTCATCGAGATGAAAGTTTTCCCCCAGGGGTATAGCACTTAAAAACGTAGCCAAAACAGTTTTTTTTTCCCTCAATCAAAGCAGTTTGCCATGGACACAGAGGAGTCTTGCCACAGACATGTTCGTCTGTGCATAAACAGGTTCGTCTGTGCATAAACAGGTTGACCATGCCTGTGGATTATAAATGATCTCCTGCTTTTCAGCTTTTTTTCCCTGGAGTCACACAACAAACGTTTTTTTTTTTAAATCATATATCTGCTTCATTGCTGTAATAAACCCAACATAAAATAAAACACCTTAGTGAGATAAACTACTAAACACTTTCATACAAAATGCACAAACATTGCCAAGCAAATGCGATCTAAATATGAAATTCAACACCAGATTTTAAAAAAGTCATAGCTTATGGTCTATGAATAATTTATTTGGTTGCCTTCCATTGCATGCTGCTGTGTAATGGACAGCAACCTCTCACAGCTGCACAGGTAAGGTATCTAAAAATGCCTGCAGAGTTTCAGAATCAGCAACCATTTCAGAGGCAGTTCATTTCTAAAATGTGCTACTTCTTCCTCAGTTATGAGGAGAAATACCATTACTATCTCAAACTAAATAATTTGTTCAGCAGCAACCTAAAACAAGACCGATTTAATACTAAAACTAAACAGAGTTTCTCTAATATGCTACGTTGCCAGTCTGCCTAATTTAGACTTATTACAGAGAAAATGCCTCTTCTTCTAAATAAAGTAACCAGACAAAGAAACCAAACGATGTCGAGATCATCGTACATCCAATTATAACAGAAAAATGATACAAGATGAAGTATTGCTATTGTAATCTATTGAGTTTGAGGCTTTATGGCTTAATAACATAGTGTTAATATAGCAGGGTATTAACAGAGTGGGGTGAGGCGCAGTGCGATAGAGCGCTGTGTCTCTGATTGGAAAGCTGCCAGTTCAAATCCCAGGCTCAAAAGAGTGATTTCACCACTAGGCCCTCAATGACCAATTCTGATTTCACAAAAAAAGTGTCGAATTTGGAAAAAAGCTTCTGCTAAAGTACACGAATAAATAAATAAATAAAATACAGGACACTGTACTGAAGAGAGTGTCAGTGTTACCTCATGGATGTGGAATGTCAGTATGACTAACAGCAAGTGTGACCATCAGCCAGCTTACCTTCTGAAATGGCATGTGGTTTGATGATACAGCAGGTACAGTCTGTACACTTTGCAGTGTTGGGGGGGCCACGGCCCACTGTCGATGGGAAAAAAAATTCCAGTTCCTATAGGAAGTCAAAAAATACACGTAACCAAAATAAAACGCATAATAGTCCACCTTCTTTATGGCGGTATAAATTCGAATGTCTTTGCGTTTAGCTAAATTACTAAGTGTGCATTCTGGAAAAACTAAATTCTTACACAAAATGTTTGAGATGACTTCCTCAGACTTCTGATCTTCTGACTTTTGGAAATGTGTCTCATTTTGTTCCTAACCTAACCCTCAGCATCAAATGCATCCTTAGCATTTTAGCCATTTGCAGAATTAAACAATTCATAGCAAGAATATAGGTTTTCCTGTTTCCTTAGGGGTGCAACAGCAGATACCTCAGCCTACAAGTCCACCATACAACCTGCTGTGAGGTACAGCAGGATAAGGAAGCTGCAAATGCCAAAGCAGCATAATGGAAACACCAATGGTGATGAGAAATAGCCTGCCATGGGCCCCATGCTGTCGTTATAAGAACATCTTCTTATAAGTTCCCTGTAATCTTCTTGCTCATCTTTGTGGTATGCTGTCTACCATTTTCTGTATCAAGCACTAAAGTCAGGAGCTTGTGTCATGCAGCATTGTCAGGAGTTGTTTCCTACCCTTGCCGCCGAGGCCAATGAATCTGACCCGTGCCCAGCGTTCTGGGTGCCGTCTGTGCCGAACCGAGCCCGCAGGCTCTGTGTAGCTTCTCTGCGGGCTGTGTCAGAGTCTGTAGGGCCCAGGAGCTCCCTCCAGGTGGATACTGCCTCATCCCCCATTATATCCATAGCAATAACAGGACCGGAGGTAATGAACTGTAAGAGGTTGCTGTAAAGGCAATACATCCAAACTGTCAGCATCTTTATGGCCACAACGCAAGATTCAAGTTAGGGCTGGGCGATATGCGATATTAATATTGGCATTACATGTTGTGAAAAGACAATTGTCACATCTCAAGAACTGACAGCTGGCTTGGGTGGCATCCAGTTTCTCATACCGCCTGGACATTACACCGAGGTAAATGGTATTTTGCAAAAGTAACGTTATTTTGCAGTACAATTCTGGTACTTTAGAATCTGACCAGTATGGCTCGTGGTATCTCGCTTCCCAGGCTGCGTAACTGGCTTCCTGACTATGATAAACACAATACTGCTGTTTCTTCAGTTCTGCCAGCAGTTCCTTTATTTTGCCATTTCACTAGCAAGGTGAGTCTGATTGCAGCACTAAATATTATATTGCTTTAGCAATCCAGCCCCACATGCCAAATGGAAAATGAAGAACAGCAAGCTTTTTTTTTTTACTTTTAAAAATGTAACGCAAGATGTTTCAGATCAGTGGGTCTGTACAAAACATGGCTATTATAATAATTTGTGTATATTATAGAATATTCAAATTTACAATATTCTATCATTTTTTAAATTGACTCATACCATAGCAAAACCATAAGGCAGAAATTGTGCCTCTTTCATTAGAGTAGAGTGACAATACTGCAAAGTCAAACGAATGTCACAGAAATGCTGACAACACTGATGCAACTTTCAGGCTGCTTAAAGCCCCCCCTCAAGCCCCACGCCTGGGTCAGTCACTCAGACAGACAACACTTACTTAAAGAAAGACTTTGACTGATGTTCTGCGTAAAAATCCGCTGCTTGTTCCCTGTAAGACAGATACTGTAAGTGGTAATGTGGAAACGAAGCCTGACAATTCTGTACTGACTGTACCCACATCTGATATAGCTGATGTCATCCTTAGATAAATGTAATGATGCTTCACTCCCATTAGAAAATGCAACATTAAGCAACATAAAGATACAAACACAAAGTGAATGAAAATGTCGAAGTAGATATGGTCTTTAAGCTAAACAGGAAAACTAAAATAAAAAATCTGAAATATTCTTCCATTACAAAGCCATTTTTGCTAAGCAGATAGACAGACACACACTGAGAGCTTTATAATTCCAGGTTTTGACAAGCACTTGCTCAATGATGCTGCTCTCTGAGGCACCTGACAGTGCAACACCCTTGGAAAAAGCTGTTCACAAACACGCGGGATATAACAGGGAAAGTCACGATTCTTCTGGAAGCTAACTGATGCTCCTTGGATGGTGAACTGCTGCCACCCTGTGCTGCCAATGAAAAGAGCTTCTACACTCTGACTATGTAGCACCCAAGGATTTCCTGCTTGCTTTCGCCTTCTGTCCGGCTTACGTTAGGTCTGATTCGTCGGCAGACTCTGTAAACACCTTCACTGCATTAAAGTGATGTAAATGGTAAGAGCAGTGAATTATCGCAGAATATCAAAGACACTAACCTCTACACTGTATCCCTGCCTCTAAGCTCTGAGATGTTCACGACACACAAAATAGCTCACTGTGTGTAGAGATGTAGAACTGGATTTCAATCAACTTTGGCATATACTAAATGGAATAACCCATTTTATTTACAAAAGACCACTGGGATTCAAGACTGGGTTTTTAGACTGTAATAAAATAATAACAACAACAATAATAATAATAATGTTTTTGGCCAGACATGCTTGCTCTGTGGTCCTTTTGGGCTGGAGTTTTCTTACACAGAGGTAGTGCTTTTCCTATTAATAGCATCACTCTGCAGCAATAGATGCCAGTCAAAGACTGGAATGAACTGAGGCAGTGAGCAATTATAGTTTTCTTATGTGCAAGACGAGTCTGTTTCCTCTCAGGCTTCCTTTCAGTGTCGATGACTGTGAAGTATTTACATCGTCCCTTTTTACCTTACCAGCTTTTATGCCTTACCAAGAAAGTTTAGTCATTTTTGCTTTTGTAAGGATGAGGTTTCTGTCATAAATCGTCTGGATGATGTCTCCAATCCTCGTCAGAGCATCTGGTTTTACCATGGCAAGCGTTCTTTTAACAGCAAGAAAAAAAAAACAACCACTCAGACTAAAAAAAGGAGACAAGTGAAGTTGTTACAAAATAGACTCACAAACTAAACAAAACCCTTGTTGCAGCCGCTGAATCGGCACTGATATTATCGTGCATTGAATGAAAATCGCCAAACGTATTTCAGTTTCACGCCACCATTTCCAATGAGACATTATACATGACATGTAGCGCAACTTGAAAGGTAACATTTTCACCCCAAAGATGTTGAGTTACCGTTCTTTTTTGCTACCCAGCTTGTTAGCAGTGTACTGGTCCCCGTAGCCAATCAGATTGAGCTGCCGGGAGAAGATGTTCACCCGGTTTCCCACAAAGAGATCCTCCTGCCGTAGCTCCTCGTACCGAGTCCGCCTTAAGAAGGTCCGCTGGTTTTTAACATCAAACTATATAGGAAAAACATCACAACTGGATCAAAGAAGCACAGGTAAATTCATATAAAACTTTGCAGTCTGGCTGATATTATATACACAATATATACACACACACACTTCTGGAAAAAATGAAGAGCCAAGCTGGAGTTTGCAAGAAAAAAAAACTAATTGACAAATGACTGAAACAAAAATTTTTGCAGTGGTCTCCTAATTTATTCCAGAGGTGTGTGTATAATTTTTATTTATCTTTATCACAGGAAAAGAACGAATGAATGCCACAACCTATATTTCATAACTTCCATGCACGCTTTCCATTTCATAGACAACAGCTTTATCACATAATTTAAAAATATCAAATTACTCTATAAAATGATGAAAAGAAAATTAAATCTGAGGCAGGGGTGTTATTGGTGATGTATATTAACCTAATTATACATGTCTGACCTCACATTAGACTAGCTGTTTTGTAATGCCAACTACTACTTATGTTTAAACTGCTGAGACTGTAAAACGGTCTAATACACACAGATGTAAATGAACTTTTTTCATGTTATTTTGCTTATTTGTTTTTAGATCAGTCTGACCCGAGAGAGCATGTGAACCATACCATCTCCACAGAGCCATCTTTAGGGTAAAACAGCAGCTGGTAGCGCCGGAGGAGAGCAGCGCTGGGGTCATACCACTCTGTGAGAAAGGCAAAGCGCTCCTCCTGTAAGGAAAGGCCGGGGGTGGATGAGAGTGATGCTGGGCCACAGGGTTCGAAATAATCCCGAGGCTCAATAAAGACTGAATTATTAAACAATTTGATATAACATCACTTTAGGCGCCTGAACAAGAACAATCTGTAAATCTGGTATATCATTCATCATCGGCCTCCAGGCATGTGACGATGAATCGGTTAAAAATCGATGTAAATGTATGACGATTTAAACCAACTAATGTGGAAAATGAATCGCTACTTTAGAGGTACTTTACTTAACAGAAAAACTGGCGTTATATTACATTTGATTGCACGACGTCAGTCCGACGTCAGATGTCACTGCGTATTCACGTCGACGTCGTCCGTTAGTTTTTGGTTTTTACCGAACCGGAGAGCAAATTTGAAATTGAGGACACCCTCCCCCCCGAGCTTACATCGGCGGTGTGGCAGCATTTTAGCTTTCCGGTAATCACAAACGAAAACGACGAGAAAAGCACAGACAAGATAAAACCTGCGTGCAAACATTGTAAAAGATTGATAACATACACAAATAGCACATCGAACATGCTTCAGCATGTCCACCGGCACCACAGTGAGCTCCATTCACCACCACGAGAGTGAAGATTATTAAAAGGGCAAACCAAGCTAAAAACCTGCACATGCAAGCCTTAGTTTATTTGGTAACGCTTTATATTAAGTGCACCTTCATTATGCATTCATACAACATTCATAAGCAGCATACAAGTACACCTTGACATCCTAACATCCCTTAACAGCTTTAATATACATTAATAACAAACATTACATGATTATACAATTATAATATTTGTTATTATATAATGTTTGTTATTAATGTATATTAAAGCTGTTAAGGGATGTCAGGATGTAAAGGTATACATGCATGATGTTTATGAATGATTTCTGAATACTTAATGAATACATTATGAAGTTGTACTGAACGTTTTATGAATGCAGTATAAAAGCATTATGACGGTGCAGTTAAGGTAAAGCGTTACCGTTTATTTGAAGATTTTTAAAAAATTTATTCTGATTTGGGATTTTTTTTAAAAAACAGTATTTTATTCAATTTCAGTTGCACTGTTAAGAAGAGGACACGTTTTGCACAGTTTAGAAAGACAAATAAAGGAATATTTTAAAATAAATTTGTCTGCAGCTCATTCTGTTAAAAAAATCGTGAGAAAATCATATTGTGAACTCAGAAATCGTGAGTCGTATCGAATCATGAGTTGAGTGTATCATTACATCCCTATCGGCCACACAGGTACACCTAGCCAGTACTGGGTAGGGCCGACGTTTACTTCCAGAACCACTTCAATGCACCAACTGTACTGGCTAACTATCGGTATCGGCCGATACAGCAACAATTGGCCGTTGGCCGATAATTCCCTCTAAAATGGTAACCCATATTGTTTTGAACACCCGCATACTAAACTGTTAGAGAAATGTCTGCAATGTGGAATTATTTTAATGTTAGTGAAAAGGATGTTATAAATGCATCTGGCAAACATTACTCTGCTCAAATTACACGAGGAGAATGAACTAATAAACATTTCAGCACAACAAATTTGATGGCTCACCTTATGGTGAGACAATGAAGAGTCTGAAGTGTTTCTGATAAACAAATCCATTCCTATAAAGAATGTATAGTACTGCGGAATAACGTGAATGTGTCAGCAATTTCATAGCAAAAAGAAAATTCAGTGGAGACAACGCAAAATCAAAAGATATTACTTTGATGGAGTTTATCACACTTGATGATCAGCCCTTCTCTGTTGTAAATGTTAGAAATATAAAAGATGTATATGATACACAATATAGTGCTCTGGGACTATTGTATGCCAGAGTTGGTGTTTTCTTACAAAAACAATAAATACTTTTTCATATTTTTGGAATGTAATTATTTGTTCATTTATTTGGGTGGAGTGTCCCTTTAAACTCATTTAAGCAGAACCTCCCAAACAATCGGTATCAGTATCGGTGTCAGTTTTTGAAATTATCAGCTATCGGTATTGGCCAGAATTTGCTTCTCGATCCATGGACAGGCGAGTTGTGCATGCAGAGAAGCCATTCTTCACATCACTGTTGTACTGAACTGTTTTTTTTTCACCTCTGGTCTTCCTGTTAATTTTAACAAGTCTGGCCATTCTCCTCTGACCTTTCTCATAAACAAGGTGTTTTTGCCAACAGAACTTGTGCTGACTGGATGCTTTTTTTGTTTACTGCACCATTCTCTGCGAATACTAGACACTGTGGTGTGTGAAAATTCCAGGAAGGTGGCTGTTTCAGGCACCAACATTCACACCACATCTAAAATTGCTTAGGTCATGCATCTTGGCTAATTTAATGCTTAGCCAAACAGTTACTTAACCTCTTGACCCTGTCTCTGTGTAAGTACTTAGCTGAAACCACAAGGCTCACAAGATGGTGTACCCAATAAAGAGGCCATCGAGTATAGCTTGGGACAAGCTGTTATACAGTTAAAAATAAATCACAAAATATTAGATATAATACTTATTTCCTCCTTGCTCAGGGTAATTTTTTCAAATGAAACTTTTGGTACAGCAATGGCCTCGAGTATCATTTTTCTTAATTCACACTGCCACCTAGTGTCTGAAAGGGCAAATTTCACTATTGGTTGACAAGGTCCTGCTGCAATTAATAGCAAGACATATAATCTAATAGGAAATTTACCTGAAATGAGTTACAAGTACAGAAAAATGGTAAAATGTGAGTAAAAAAACCTAGACCTCTGATTTTTGCCTAACAGGAATTTACCATTTCACATATAAATTTACACAGATATTTACATATCAACTATGAACGTTCCCTATATGTATACACATTGCTTAAACTTTGCAAATAGTTGTCATGTAAATTCTAACATGTAAAACAAATGTCCAGTACAATTCCCTACATAAGTCTGGAATTAATTTTAAGCTACCTTCCCGTGGATGCCAACCGAGTCTAAATGACACCAGCAAGGGAAAGTATTAAGCAGAAGAAGAGGAGCTTAAGCCCATTGCTTGGATGTGGTTCTCCTGATACTACTGAAAGGTACTGACACATCAAAAGGAAAAGAGTGAAGATGTTCATGGAAAGAGGGATGATGGAGAGAGACTATTGGGTGGTCTGGTTCCATGTTTGAGGCCTGAGCAGTGGGAGATAGGGCCATGTTCAAGTTGTGTTCAGCAGGATTGGGGAAGTGCTGACTAACTCTGGGGAATTTTTTTAAACCGGTGGATATGCCCTCTGGCCAGGCGGGACTTGCTGGAAGTTTCTGGTGGATGAGAGTTTATCACTGCTGCTGAAGTAGCTGTGGTGAACATAGTATAAAGGCTGCCTGAGTAAATAAAATGAATTGGAAGATGTTGATAGCGCTGAATGTTTAGGGCTGACATAGCTGACGCATTGCTTCAATGTCCAAGTACCTCTGGACAGGCAAACAGGTATTCCCTTATTTTAAAAAGGAGCATCAGACTGTATCTTCCAACTAGCACACATAGACTCCCTTTGAAAGGCTATACCATGTACTGAAGAAGAAAAGAATGCAGATTCTGCCTTAGGCAACAGTGTAGCTACAAATTCTTCTTCCTTATGCTAACATTCTAAATGTGCTTTGTGTCTTTAGGATATGACTGCGTACCCTGGAATATAATGTTGGAGAAGCTCCAGAACCACCGGAGTCACTGCTGTGGTATTTCTGGTCCTTGTATGGATGTTATAAAAGTTATGCTAGCATATGTGCCACAAAGGCAGAGCTGTTTATAGTGGGTCACCCTCCTGCAAGGGCACATTCTGCGTCACCTATTGTTTGTGATTTTCATGGAAGGCATATCAACACTAAGCTGTAGCTATGAGGTATGGGGTGCTACAGACGAAACCCTTGCCATTTAGAGATAATAATTCTGGCCTCAACATGAACCACCAGTACTCATCTGAGGGGCTCAATGTTAAGAGAAAAGTTGCAGAGATGAACACCAGCACGTCTAAATCCGAAGCCACTATGAAATCATTAAAAAGGGTAGACTGTGTGAAGGGGAATCTGTTATAAGTGAATGAGTTTAAGTTCCTTGGGATCCTGTTCAGGTTGGCTCTCAGAAAAATGGCCCAGGGACAGACCCAGGAAATGCTCTAAGAATCAGATCACTCAGCCGGCTCAGCTACGTCTGAGGATCTGTCACAATCAGCTAAATTCCATCGGCCTGGATAGAGAGGTCTGGTCTAACCAGCACAGCATGCTTTCACAGCAACCCTCACAGGATCGTTAAGGATGTAATTACAGGAAAATATTACAACAAGGATCTAACAGTAATAGATAAAGTATTCGATGAATCACAGAAATATAATTACAGCCTTTAGCTTGTTCTTAGACATGACCATTTTAGTCATGAAAGGTCAGAAACTTAACATAATTTGTTGTCAGGTTACACATAACATCATAGTAAAAAGCCGGACACGAATACGTTACCATTCGTTAACCAGTTCTGTGCAATAATTATGTATACCGCCGTTTGGCTAACCCGATGTAGGTAAATAAAACCAATAAACGAAGCAAATCAAAGTTAATGCAACAGCTGTGCAAATGGATATTCAATACACAAATAGTGACTAAAATTAAAGGAAACGGAATAAATGAAAATGTTTTTTTTTTACCATTTCTGATGAGATACTTGCAGGATGCCAGTTGGCTAAACTGCTAACAGTTGTCTCTGAATTTCAGTGTGCGTTACTATAGCAACGGTCTAACGCCTGCTAACGTAAAATAAAAAGTTTATCCTTAAAATACTCCTTATATTTCTGTTCATGCAAAGTACATACAGAGCGCAAAATAATAGTTGTAATACATTTTCAAATTCATAAATAAAATAAACGATCTTTGCATGTGACCCGGAAGTAATTCTTGGTCATACTTCTCGGCGGTCATGTACTGTGCGCACGAGGAAGTTAAACACCTTTGGCTGGAAACGCCATCTGTGCAATAACAGTCCGCCAGTATTCTATACTGTACTTCAAATTATGGCATTTTATAAATAGCAATCTCTTATTCTTGTAGCTCTTATTCTCGTAACACTAACTAATACCGTACTTAATATTACTTGCGTACAGGTTCAAGGTGTTTTTCAATTTACTTTTCATTAATTCAAGCGCAAAATTGTCTGTAAGGTGTTCTAATAGCAGTATGATCGTCACGATCCTCTAAGTTTTAAGTCGTCGATAATAATGATGTTGATTGTTAGAATGTTATTTAATATTTTTATATGTAATTTAATAGATCGTGCCCATTGCTTCCGAGATAGGCTCCGGACCCCCCGCGACCCAGTAGGATAAGCGGGTTGGACAATGGATGGATGGATGGATTTAATAGTCTTCCAGGATTTTTCTTATTTTTCTTGAGACCCTTATTTTGAAAATATTTATTTCACATATGTTACCGCATATTTCTGGGTATATGACATTAGTACCATCACACAGGGTTATGTGAAAAGTATATTTGAAATTGTAATATGAAATTTATATTACGTGACAGGTAAATCCAGAGCATGCATGGCCATATTTTGATTGGAGTAATATGTGCAGTCCACTTGAAAAATAAATAGCAGGACCACTATTAGTAGGCATTTGTCTGAAATCTTTTATTTTGATCTGGTGCCTCCAACAAGGTAAAATGTGTGGAAAATTTGAGTGAAATTGCAGGTTTTGACTTTGTTTTATTTCAACCATAATGGTGAGTTTATCACTCTGGATCATGTACAAACCCATAAGAGACAGTTGTACAGGTGTAATACCAAAAAGAAAAGACATGTATATCCTACTGTGTAAAATAATGACAGCACTCAGCAGTTGAAGTGCTGTTCCAAGGTTCAGAGGACCTCCTGTTTGGGGTTGGGCCCCACATGCCCCAGAGGCTGTAGGTCCCTCCAGTCTCGCTGTTGGCTGGTAGCCCTAGACATTGCGCAAGCCTCCCATTTTGGTGTTGGTTAGGGAAACTTCTGCTGGAGCTCCCACTGGGGTTGGGGAGAACTTCAGCGGCAGGTGTCGTGTAGGTGGGTGACCAGATGGATGTGCTGAATGGAGTGGTGGTGGACCATAGGTCTCTGCTAGTGCCTGAAACAGACTTGAGGAGCGGAATGGCCGGCCATGAGTTCAGGGTTCCAGAATTTCTTTTGCACGGTTTAACCATATTTTGACTGGTATGTAATTTTAATTACATAGACATGGAGTAGTACATTCTTAAATAACGAATTATTAAAATTAGAAAAAAAATGCACATTTTCATATTAGAATTCCATCCAGAAGCAGCCAGGAGTTTTAAATGGAAGGGACAGTTTGCTACACATACTAAGCACAAATAAATTTTCCCACAACCCTGCTGTTCTTTTCAGTCTCATTAAAGGATAATCTTCAAAACTATAATCTCTTTATATCATGGATAAAGTACATTCCCTATGGCTTTTAATACTTCCCTGGCATATCAACATGATTCTCAATATTGTGACTTCATCTTACTTCAGATGAGAATGATGGTGAGCTCGTAGTGATGGGCCAGGGATGCAGAGGGTCACTGCTGGAGGTTTCCCAGATTGAAGGGGACACAGCATTGAAGTCAGACCACTTCAGCTGATGTTCTTGGCTCTTGGAGAAGGGCATACCACTGAAGGCTAATAACAAGGAGTGAGACTTAACCATGTGAGATCTGGCTGGAAGAATCTTTTTGCCCATTCATAATAATCACAAAGGTAATATGAGAATTAAAACGAATGATTAAATAAACACAGCTAGCATCAGTTTCCATTATTCCTTTTGTGGGAACTTTTCACCCACCTCCAGAACCTTTAAATGTATCACTGGGCCCAAAAGTCAACTGTGAAGAATTTAAGTTGTTGCTATTACAGGGAGTGAATGGATTCCACAATCCAGCACTGTATGGAAAGAAAAACAAATGCAATCGTCATTCTTTATTCTTGCAGCTGTTTTCGTAGATGAACAATAGGAGAGGATGTTTCTGGGCTGTATGTTTAACGTTAAAGTTATTAGAAGAATGTTTCACGCAACATCCAGCACATTCACCACTTGTTTGCTTACTTTACATTTATTTATGCCAAATTAAATAAATAAATATTTACCTTATGTTTATAGCTAATACAGTGGTACCTCGGTTCTGGAACTTAATCCGTTCCGGACTCCGGATCGAATCCTAAAAAGTTCGAGTTCTGATCGATTTTTTCCCATAAGAAATAATGGAAAACCAATTACTTGGTTCCCGGCCCCCCAAAATTACACCTAAATATGTATTTTTTCTCTTTTTTTAGCATTTGAACACAAGATGAACAGGATAAAACAAGAAGAGCATTTTTTTCTTAATGGCTTCCAAAACGATAAAGATCTTATCCCA